GGCTCACGGGCCCAGCCGCTCTGCGGCATGCGGGATCTTCCCGGACCGAGGCTTGAACGTGTGTCCCCTGCATCGGCAGGCGGACTCTCAACCACTGCACCAGGGAAGCCCCAGAGTATTTTTTTTGTCTCTTCTACAATGCTTGGTGCTGCACCTACTTAAATAAGCCACTTCTACCTTCACATGATAAAGTATATTTTATACTCCTTTTCATAAAAGTAATTCTCACAGTTTTAATGGACCAGATAAGTTACATAGTCTCAGAACTGCATTTTCAAGTTTCCTCTACCTACTAAAAGAGAGTTCCTACCTTTAAATATGTGCTGTCTAATTTAGGACTGGTTAAGTTGTCCTAATAGCTAACAACAAACTTGCCTTGAAAAGAACTAGAAGATTTGATTTGTGGCCACTTTGATTCTAGCTCTGCCTCAAGAAGAAATACACTCAACTCTTAACCAAATCATGCTGAAACTGGCCAAGCCCATGAAACAGCTCTTGTATAAGCAAAGGATCTACACTTGAATAAAAATGTTGTGGTTTTTAATTAATAAGTTTAACATTTTGACAGTGGTGAACATCTAAAAAACTGAAAGAATACTTAAACCAATCATTCAGTTAGTACTCCATTGAAACATCATGCAGTTCAACTCCCTACGTTTTACAAATGAAAAAGCAGAAGTCCAGAAATATGATGTGACTTGTCTGAGGTCACACAACATATTAGTGCCCTATCTCCCTTAAGTAGGAAGAGACTATAAAGTCACCCAGGGTGACTAAGTCTTCAGGACTAATGTGGAGATCACTGAGTACAGCTTTCCTGACTGCAGGACCTAGAGAAGGCTTTCCAAAGGAGTAGAAATGTGCAGGGAATCAGTTTGAGCCTAAGCAGAAGAAATATCTCAAGGCAGCTCTCAGGAGAGCAAGAACCCTGAGACAGTTCCAACAGGGAAAGGTTTTGCTGGCTGAGGCCAAATGTGTAAGCTTGGGTGAAACCAGAAGAAACCTATGATTGAAGAAGGAAGAAAAGAAGACAGAAAAGCATCTCTGCTTTGCTGGGTGGGGATGCACAGTTTAGAATCTGAGGTTTACAAAAGCTGTATGAAGACTGAAAAGTAACAGGTCTCTCTTAAATGTCTTAGGTCTTCAGACTCTAAGGGAGGCTGAAGTAATCCAGGCTGAAGCCTAATCCCCCTTGCCAACATCCTGCCTCATCTCTCCTCTGAACTTCTGGGATGGGTGGGCCTTGGCCCTGGAAGAAGACAGAATTACCTTCCCTTATGCCTGTGTCTGGGAGCCTCACCATGATGTCCTGAAACATGGGAAGCCTGAGAACAGAGCCCAAGTGCTGGGACACCCCTATTTTGCTGGGACACCCCTACCTCCTCTCAAACCAGCCTTAGAAAATTATTTTAACCTCTCTTGTCAAACTCTTCCAATCCCAGAGCTTGGCGTGCTCTTCCAATCCTGCTCCCACTCCTGAATCACTATTTTAAACCTGTATCTAGGGCTTCCCTGGTGGCGCAGTGGTTGAGAGTCCGCCTGCCGATGCAGGGGACACGGGTTCGTGCCCCGGTCCGGGAAGATCCCACGTGCTGTGGAGCGGCTGGGCCCGTGAGCCATGGCCGCTGGGCCTGCGCGTCCGGAGCCTGTGCTCCGCAATGGGAGAGGCCACAGCGGTGAGAAACCCGCATACCGCAAAAAAAAAAAAAAAAAAAAACCTGTATCTAGGTGACATGTGGCCCTTATAGGGCCAATTTCAACTCAGGGAGCCACAGAATGTCAGAGCTGGACTGCATTTTATAGAGAAGGGGACAGAGGACTAGCTGAACTGCCAGTCACCTAATGAATTAAGTGGCAGAGCTGGGACTAGAACTGAGGTCTCTATCTGACCACCTCAGGGGTCTCACTGAGACTCTGCCCTTAGAAAGGACTTTCTCTAGGAAGCAGATTAAAGCAGAGATAAGACTGAATGAGGGACATCAGTGTTTTGTCTCTCCTCCCCATCATTTTCTGTTCCCACCGTATCCCACTTAATAGCCCTTCTTTTCTTTCTTTCCTTTCCCCATTCTCTGCTTGACCCCTTCCTTTTCCTTTCTCCCCAGCTCACTCTTCTCTTCTCATCCTCTCTCTGCCTCCCTGTTTGCTCACTTAAAAGAGGAGAGCCTCTCTTTGCTCTCCTCTTCTCATCCTTCTCCTTATACCTTCTCTTCATTACTCCTTCCTCTTTTGTTTCTCTTCTAATTCTCAATAGCTCTGGTTCTCTTCCGCTGTGAGGAGTTTGAGACTCTGGAAGGGGGACACTTGGGTTCGGATACTTAGTAGCACATCCCTCTGCTCGGCCTCATTTTCCCCTGTATCCTAGGAGATTGACTAAACAAACTGCCCAGAGAATGAGTCTTAGAACCCAGGTGTTCTAGGTCTTGGTGTTTCCTTTGGTGCCTGAAGGTAGGATGGGAAGGATGGTCACAACTGATGTAGGTGCAGTTAGGAGAGGAGGGGAAAAGGATTTGGAAGTGGGAGCAAGAGCAAAAGGCAAGGAGCAGAGGATAATGACTGAGAGTAAGAGAGATTGGGTCTTAACTGTTTACTCCTAGGCACATATGTGGAGATCCTCGAGGATATGGATAATTACCTCTATAACACAGATGAGAAAATAGAGACACAAAATAAAGTGGGAAGTGGCCAAGGACTGCTGAGCAAGATTTGGTCTTCAACTGCCAGGTGGCTTCATGTCACCTAGAGATGGACTTTAGTAGAGTTGCCAATGGCGCCAATGGCTAATAGTGGAATTCAAGGTGTCTATGGTCTCTCTGAGGGTAGGAAGGAAGAGAATCATTCTGTCTACTCTCTTGCTTTGGAGCACGATTATGACAGACCTGGTTCATATAAAGAGGACAGAATGGGTCATAGCCCTCAGAATGTTAGAGCTTGAAGACTCCTCTTTTATAACACATCAATCCAGCAGTTCCTGGCTATATCAATATCTCCTGGAAAGTGTCTTAAAATGGAGATTCCTTAGCTCCACCTCAAATCTATCAGATCCAAATTTCCAAGGACGGGGTCCAGGAATATTTATCTTTAATAAGCACTCCTGATACACAAGCAAATCTGGGGAAGCCTCCACTCCCTCTGATCATAGATCAGGAAGTTGTGGTCCAAAGTCACAGAGCTAGTTAACATCAGTCAGGACTAGAAGCAAGTGCTCTTCCCAGCACAGCACTCTGGCACACCAACAAACTGCCCTGGGTCATTGAGCAGGCTAAGAACCAGGCACAAAACTCAAACCCTGGCTCTTTCCAAGGAAGTCTCACAACTCTCCCTATTACCAGGGGTTTCTGTACTCCCCATGGGTCTTGGCCAGCCCTCATTTGGTAATCCTCAACAATCTGTAATTGAATTTGTGCTAAAGCTTTGCTGCTCCAATTCTCTCTCTTCCCTTACTAGGGTGGGGCTCACCTCTGAGTGGTAGCCTGGGTAGCTAAGAGGTCCTCATATAAAGAGGTGACTGATACAACCAGCAGGAAAACTGTAAGTCAAAGAGGTTAAGCTAGAGAAAACCAGGAGGTCAGGGCCCTGTAGCCCTGTTCAGGTAAAAGAGTCCAGGGTATGATTTAGTCAGGGTGGGTAAGCATGTGGAGGGCAGAGTTAGGGACTCAGGCCAGAGCTTGGAGCAGAGGCTGGTCTGAGCCTCCAGACCCTTACCGTGGGCAGGAGAGAAGTCCTGTGTCTGAGATCTGCGACGCTCTCTGCTGTGGGCCGAGGAAACCCAGGAGGGCTCCTTTTCTCCTTTGCTTCTCTTGCACTCACTGGCTTCCTCCCCTCTTCTGCTGCAGTTTGCTGCTGTCACTGGCAGACTTACAGTCAGATAGAAAGAGTAGGGTGGGGAGAGGTGTGAGCGCTCTCCTCAGTCCAGCCCATCCAACTCTTAAAGGCCCAGGACACTGGTCAGTGTGAGGGAGTAGTGGGGGTGGGGTGCGCAGAAGAGGATTAAGGGGAGGGATTGACAGGCATCACATCTCCAGGGAGGAGGAGCCTGTCTGTCCTTCATCTTGATGCCAGCCCTCACTGACCTCAGTCCTGCAGTAGCTCTCAGAGTGAAACCCAAGGAGTATCCAAGTTGCAGTGCTCCATGAATCACTGCTTTTCATTCTGGTTGGTTTCTCTCTGTGTGTTGTACAGCTGTCTTTGCCCTTATTTCA